GCAGTGACACAGCCCTCAGCAAATTTCACGCAAATATTTTGAGAGAATGACAAGATTTTTAGGGAGAGATTAATGTCAAACTTTGCCCCTGAGGTAAACCACTGAGAATGACTTTTTCTAGATGATTAGTTGTGGAATTCAAAGTAACAGAAACAGCTTTTTGTCCTATACTTGTGTTTCACCTTGAGTTGTCTGCGAACGCGGTCGATGAAGAACTTCCAGCAGTTTTCCCTCGTATCCATCAATCCAGAGGTGCGGAGCTCTGGTCTCACAGTGCTTATGATGTTCTCCACCTCGTCGTCTGGGGACAGTCAGGAATGTCTCCTTGAATGGATAAAATGATGCACATTACCAGCAGGAAGACAAGCGAGACTGAAGGCAGAGGTCCAAATGTTTTTCTGTCAAAGAGCTAAACTTCAAACTTGAGAGAACTCTCTGCAACTTTCTTATCTCGTCAGGATCTCAACTGACACTGAGACTCAAATCTAGGTGTGTTAACAGAGCTGGGGGCAGCAGGAGTTCATACAGAGGACTTCTGCTAATGCAGAGATCCACTGTAAGTAACAACACTCAGCCTTGGTGGAGGTATTTGCTTTATAAGTGTCGGCCTGGTTAAATAAGGAATCCAAAGCAGCCTAAGTGGGCTGACAATACATTTTTTTGCTAGTTAMATTTAAAAGTTGGAAATGCATTTTGTTAAAACAACGACATTTTGGAACTTTTGTTGACCAGTGATCACTCTCACCACGAATAGCAATTACAGACATAGTAACACRATGAATGTCACATCATCATTATCTGCTGAGAACAAACGATAGGGAGACTGCTGCAACCTGCAACGTTACAAGGGTTACATGACGACTGCCACATTCTATCTACCTACTAATTCCACAAACATCTGCTGCAGGTGCTGATCTCCATCATGGAAACAATATTCAAATAGCTCCACAGCATCACCACAGCATCACCACAGGCACAAGGAAACAGCCCATTYTAAACAGGCAGGTTAAGAACGGGCACTGCACTAGTAGTAAGTAAAGAGGAGTAAGAATAATCAATATCAATCAATATACCATCTTTCCCAATACTACCACAAATGATTTAGTACATTTATTTTTTGTAAACTAACTACCAAATGATTCCACTGCTAAGATTGGTATACAGAGAATACAGAGAATCATTTACCCTAATATCCAAAGTTCTCGTTTGAATATTTGCTACTACCACCAAGATCTGCACCCGCGGCGGCTCCACCCTAGCCCACGCACTAGGCTTCCGAGCGCATTATACTACGCTATGTGTTGTGCCCATTGAATGTGGCATATAAATCTACATGTGGCTCTCAGCCGTGCCTGCAATTCCTCACAATGATGTGCTGTGGTTGATGGGTGATGCCATAGAAACGGCACCGCAGTGATTTGTTGCTGCAGCGAAGCAAAAGCATTTCTCTGTTGCAAAACATGACATGCAGTAATTAGCGGAGCCTGCTGTTACCCGATGCCAGCAGATCGTTGACCAGAACGAGGAACTTCTCGTCTGCCACTTGGGCATCCGTCATTAGTAACACGGTGCCAATATTCTTCACGCCAGCTTTCATGTAAAGGGCTCCAAGGTCAACCTAGGGATAGGGAGAGAGAAAGAGACATGGAGTGAGAGGGTGACACACATAATGAGACCAGGCTGTTAGAGGCCTAAAGATTTGATTTTGAGACCTGAATACCTGCAGCACAACATCATGGAGGCAGGTAAGCGTGCACTTAACTTCAACAGGCTTCTCAACGAAAATCCTGTATGTTCCCACCACGTAAAGAAATGACTGCTAGACCGGCAATATGTCGGCTCTGATAAAGTCCAACACTCTGAGGCTGAATTTTACAGCTTATTAAAGATAAAACAATCGAGAGTATTACCATGTTTCTCCTCATCCTTCAAAGGGTCAACTCCAGGAGAGAGGATGAAGAACATGGGCGTAGCTGGACCAGATTCTTTAAAGGAGATGGCGAAGTCCAGGGATCGGCTATTCGCGTACTTGTTTCCCAGTTTCTCCTCTACAAAATCTCTGTGGGGGGGAACAGGAGGGTTAGGGTTTCAGTTCTCAACAGTTTTTATTATCTTTGACCGATAAGCTGAAGAGTCTGCTGCCTCTGTAGTACGGTGCATTGGATAGACAGGTACTATATTATCTCTAGTCGCAACTGTGTTGTCAGTGGCTGTTTTCAATTTCTGCATCTGTCTGCATTTAAAACAACATTTTGTCTAATAAATAATAATCGTTATTATTATTGATTGTACCTGGAAAGTTGTATGATTACAGTTATTTCTGTTGACCTGTAGCAGGTGCTCTCTCAACTCAGATTCTAAAGTCAAAGCTTAAACAGTTTAAACCTGTAACCTTTCACAAGGAGCACAGGTCAGTAAAATCCTTCACAGATCACAGAGCGAACGTCAAGCTACRATTCCACCTCTCACCTTACGGCGTACGTCATGCGGTCAGGCCTCAGAGCCCTCATCATGCATAGCTTCTGAAGHGAATTTTTGTTCTTCCACTCCTGGGGGAATTTCTCTCTTTCAGGACACTCGCACTCCACGAACGTCTTCCAGCGTTTGGATGAACCTTCGATGTCTTGATCCAGGTTTCTGAACTCTTCCAAGGTGCTCAGGGCCTGTTGGTGGAGGAAAAGAAAAATGATTCATACAGGAAAAAGTGCTGCGACACTGTGATCGAGTTTTGGACCACTTCAGAGCCATTTTGCAAAATACAGACACATGGCATACAACAACACAGCCGTCTCTGCCTCTTTCCGTACCTTGATCCCGCCCCAGGAGTGGTTGGAAAAGAAATCCACTGGTGATGTTAAACCTGGTTGGACGGGGTATCTCAGAAGGAAGTCCAGCTCTACAGGGTTTATTTCTTTTTTCATCGTAAGGATCTGGGGACACAACAAACATAGATGACTTTGAGATGCTGTATTTCGAGCACACAGACACGACCTCTGGTCTCAGGGACAGCTGATTCAATGGCCAGCTTGTTCTCAAAAACAAACCAAGATGAAACTGGCCTCCCTTCCGACCTGGAAAGCGAGCTGAGCAATGTACGTGAGCTTGTCACACTCAAACAGGCCTCTGGTGGTGTACAGGAAGACTGAGGAGGTGATGCTGTCAATTAGGTTGGACACCCACTGGTTCAGAGTATCGTCCTGCTCAGCCTTCAGAACCGCTTTCTGGAAGACCACGCTGAATGCCTGTGGATTTCCCTTCATTACTCAAATGGATGCCGTTACTTGAAAGGTGATGCAGTGTAATATTTTCCCATCCCATAGCCACAGGATGCTGCTTGGTACCACCAACAACGGTGAGGGAGGATGTCTGAAAACATGAGGACGGTCCCCGGAAAGATATAGATATAAAGGGCCCATTGTAGGGTGAGAAATTTTTTTTTTAATTTAGATGAACACACAACAAAATGACAATACACATTATTAACTTTAAACTATAAAGACTACAATCAACTCTAGATCTAGATCTGCAGAAGCAAGGCCACTCCAGCCAAGGTCCACTTGGAAGGGGGCTGTTTTGTCTTCAGGTTGTAGGTACGTACGTAAGTCCCTTCTGTCGGGTTTTGTAGACAGGGCACTGGTAGACGTTCTTGCTCTCCTGTTTGTCTGCTGGGATGGCTCTGATGAACCTGACTGGCATGTCTGGGGTGAGGTCTTTCAGGCAGGCATCTACAATAGGGTGACCATATTTTCATTTGGGAAAACCAGGACACCTTGTCCGGGGGGGGCGGCGGCTGGGGGGTGGGCGGTCATGTGGAGGATGCTGCTGCTTTAATAGTATTTTATTATTATTCAATTATACCGGTATATTATATTATATAGATAGAACAAGATATTTACAGTTGGTTTATTAAAAATGCTTTTCAGTAAAAGTCAATAACAATAACTCCAATAACAAATGATAATTTTTTTCAAAATGAATCGGGGTTGGGTCTTTTTGAGTAATGCACTAGTGCAGTCCATGGATCTGTAACTGTTGTGGTGTTTCACTGTGTGAAATGACCATGCAGCCTCCGCTGCATTCACTGCATCCTCGGTCCCTGGTCTGAGAAAGTACTGTGTGATCAAGCTAGCACTACCCTCGCCTCGGACAGCTGTTTTGTGCTTCTCGGTGTCCAGGTGGATTTTCTGATCTCTTGCACCTCCATTGGACACCGAGACATATGTGCCTGCTTTGCACACTGTGCACAAGGATTCCCATTTGTCTCGACCCGGTCTGAAAGCCGGGAAACTCTTTTGTAATTCGTCGGTAAACGAGCACTTGCGCTTCGCCATGTTGCTTGCGTATGACTGACAGTCACGTTGTCTACGTTCTGATTAATAGGGCTGACAGCATAGGGGCGGGGATTAGGCTACGTCACACGCAGCGCCGTGGGCAGTGCCCTAGTGCATGTAAATGTAATGGTCCAAAGAAGGTAATTTTAAAAACCAGGACATTTCCTCACTTTCTAAAAATAACCCGGGACAGGACGTGAAATACGGACATGTCCCGGGAAATACGGACGTATGGTCACCCTAATCTACAATCATGCCGGTCTGATAAAGAAAGTACAGGAGAGTGAGGAAGAGGGAAAGAGGGAGGAAGACAGAAACATTTCACAGAGCACAGGATTTACAACAATCAAAAATGGATGAATGTACCTGTGTGTCCCAGCGTGCGTCCTCCATGTACATATGCCCCTTCACGAGGTGGGGAGGTAAAGCACTTTATAGTAGTACAACAACAAGACCACTCCCTAAATGCATTAAATAAACAACTTTTCTTGGCCTTGTACGATATTCTAAAGACCACGGATTCTGATGGTTTGGGGCAGGGTGGGTTATTATCTTGTCTCCGCATGATGACCCCCCCGACACACACTCTTGTGGTATGAGCCAAAAGCAGCACACGATATATTAAGATTTTATTTTTTTATTTTTGTATTTTATAATGAGCCCCTTAAAAGTCCATTGTGTCGAATTTAAGTGTAGTGTCATGTTGCAGCTGAATATTCCTCATCTCATCCTCCTCTTCCAAACATGAAGGAGAACCTGTGGTGAACTTCAGCTGTCGTAAAAACAAAAGGTTTTAGTTTGTCCAGTTTGGACGGAAAAAAAACAACATGGTGGCCTCCACAGAGAGGACCTGCCTCCATGTGAATAAAACGTTTTTTGGATATAAAGGGCTCATTGTAGGGTGAAGAAAAAAAAAAGATGAACACCCAACATGACAATACACATTGCTGTCTTTAAACTATAAAGACCGCAATTAACTTTGGATCTAGATCTGCAGAAGCAAGGCTACTCCAGCCAAGGTCCACTTGGAAGGGGGCTGTTTGGTCTTCAGATTGAAAGTCCACACATATGTAGGTCCCCTCTGTCTGGTTTTGTAGACAGGGCACTGGTAGACGTTCTTGCTCTCCTGTTTGTCCGCTGGGATGGCTCTGATGAACATGACTGGCATGTCTGGGGTGAGCTCTTTCAGGTGGGAATCTAAAATCATGCCGGTCTGAAAAAGAAAGTCCAGGAGAGTGAGAAAGAGGGAAAGAGGGAGGAAGACAGAAACATTTCACAGAGCACAGGATTTACGACAATCAGAAATGGAAGAATGTACCTGTGTGTCCCAGCGTGCACCCTCCATGTACAGCCCGTGTACATACGCCCCTTCACGAGGCGGGGARGTGAAGTCSTCACGATTCTTCTTGGTGACGTCACACTGCAGACACATGCGGTCCAGAGGCCACTCATTCCTGTCATACACACACACACAGATTTTGCAGTGTCACACCAAGTGGTTTCCATCACAAGCTACAAGTATGATGCCACTGTGAGAACCAACCCTACCTTCGAGCCATAGACTGCATGATCGCTGTGAGGAAGGACTGGGGGTTGAAGAAGCCAGCTAGCCACACTACAGGGGGTAAGACGAAGTCACTGGACCAGTTTTCAAGCTCCTTGATCCTGGCTAACAGGTCAGTGAACCAGAGGGCCAGGCTGGACATTGAGGGATACGCCCGCTTGGTCCAGTTGTCAGGCACTGTGTCCAGGAAAATGGCATTCTGAAGGTTCTCCATTTCACTGGTCATGGTCAACTCTCCCTAAAGGGGGGGGGGGCACAGACAAAGAAACAATTTAAATCCAGCTGAAATCAGTCAAATAGAAGAAAATGAAAGGATCATGGGAGATCCTTCCTTTAAGGTCAGGAAGGAGTACAAGAGAATTCAAACAGTTTTTGTGAAACAGCAGTGAGTAAAGCACCTCATGGCAGGATTCACCTGCAAGGAGCATTCTAGCAGAACAAGTAAGCAGAACTAGTCTGCTGACTAAGAAGAGTTCGCATTGTTTATTTAAGAGACGTACCTTGTGCCATTGACTCTTGTCTCATAACGATTTACACTCTGACAGAAGAGTCTACATCAAAGTGATGCAACACAGCTAATTAACTACGATAGCTTCTTCCCTTCCCACAGGCCAACACCTGCCTGTCTGGTCCCACAAGGCCAGCGCGAAAACATGGTCGTAGACACTTTTACATATTGAAGGAGGAGCCAAGGATCAAACTGCCATTAGGACAACCTGCGCAACTATCAGTCTTAAGCTCCAGCCCCTCAAGAACATTAAATAAAATTGAGGGTATAGAGGTGTATCTGAAGGACAGTTCACTTGAGGTTCACTGGTGTAACACTTAAAGGGGAAGTTCATTTTTTTTCAACCTGGTCATTATTTCCAGCATATGGTATGTAGATCTACTCACCCATAAAACTTGGAGTCCTTCTGACACTTTTAGATCCACAAGCAATCGGTGTATATCCATACAACGCAAGGGTTCGGGGCATGCACAATACAGCCTCTAAATAACGCATTATCTGCCATGAAAACAAGCTCCGAGGCTGGCAAGACTCACAGGGGACTAGTGCTGGAGATTCATAGTAAATAAAGAGTTTCGTGGCAGATAATGTAATCTAAAAGCGTCCGAAGGACTCCAAGTTACTCCAAACCTTTATGGGTGAGTAGATCTACATACCATATGCTGGAAATAAGGACCAGGGTGAAAGAAAAAAAAAACTTCTCCTTTAAGGTATTTGGCTCTTAGCACCAAGTCTGCAGAGCCAGTGGTGTTCAAGATGGGGTCTGTGGACACCCAAATATAAAGTAGATGGTTCCTGGAGTCCACAAACAAATGAGAAACAATCTCAACAGTCCCCTTAAGTTCAAACAAGCTGCACCAAATTGCAGATGGATACCAGTCAACTTAATATGCCAGATTTTTTTCATCAAGATCCATGAATAATTCTCTGGGAATCATCACAGTCCTCTCACCTTCAGTCCTAGGTTGAGCTCATGGAGGGAGCGTCTGATTTCCTGCGTAAGAACGTTCATGCGCTCACACTCCTGCAGCGCCACCACCTGGTAGGGAGTCCTCTCTTCCGCTTTCTCCAACAGCTCGGCCATGTTGAAATCATCCGTGAGTTTCTCCATGATGTCCTCTAACACCTGACGCACCTGATAATATGTGATGGAATGAAGAAGAGTGTCAACGGCTTAACTTTTCAAAGTTAGAATATCATATCAGGTCCTGCTTTCAAATTCTTGCTTCATTATTTCTATCAAATGAGATAAATATTGTGTGATTTTAAAATATCAATATCAGCTCATCCACGAATCATCTTTACACTGCAACTACAGATTTACTGTATAAATCATCCTTTTTACCTTCTCCTCACGTGTCGTCCCGCCGCCATCACCAACCCCTCCGTCTCTGGGCTGCATCTCCAGCACAGTGCGGAAAAGCTTCTCCGAAGTTTGAGTGAGGAAGCCAATCTCAGCGTTGGGATGGAGGCCGTACAGGTAGGGCGACTCAGCAGGTAGGGTGTCATCAATGTACTGGAGCAAAAGAGAACACAACAGAAATGTTGTAGCATCGGAAACCCATATTTGTTCCAGGGGTTCACAAAAGAGGCTGCATAATTGTTTTCTTTCTTTTTTTGTCACCTTTTTACCTTAACAGGGTAACATTTCAACTCTAATTCCCTACCATATGATTTTAAATGAACAGAATAAAAATTGTAAACTCCAATTGACTTGCTGAGTCACCAGCTTCTACTTCATGTCTTTGTCACCTCTAGGTGATGACCTGACACACACTCTGGGACCCACAGGCCTTAACAGCCCCTTTCTCTGGCTAAATCCTTATCTGCTTTTGTTGTCTTGTAACTATGTATTCATTGACCTAATCCTCTTTTTGTTGCTGGATGTTTCATATAGTCTAATGGCCTCATATGGTCTAACCTTGACTGCCTTACCTTGTGGTAGCTTTTATAGTCCATGTTTCCAGGCAATGGGAAGCCAGGCGCGAGGCACAGGTCTCCGTCCATCATCTCAGGCTTGATGTACTCTCCCAGGTAGGTGCAACACAGACGGCGGTCCCAGTCATCTGTGATGTGACCTCCATACATGATCTCACCGAACAGGTAGCGCAGGTCTTTAAACGGCACCTGGGAATTAGAAACTTGCTTTGTTAGATGGTGGCCTGTGGTGTTTAGCTAGGTTCACATGTGTTTAGATTTTCAATTAATATTTCAAGTGGTTGCCTTTGTAATCCTGTGTACAGGAATAAAAATATAAGCGAAACACATGTACCTTAGGATTGGCCTCAAGGTAATTATAGAGGACGTTGATAGAAATGGTGAGGTCACCGATGTTAAAAGGGTATGATCTGTTCCAGCCTTGTGGACCAAACTTCCTCCTCTCTGCAACGACCGCATGGAAGTAGCACACAGCAAACAAAATACTCTTGAACTCGTTCTCCTGTGCGCACATTTCCAGCGTGTCCTGGAAAATGACAGAATGACATGGTCATATATTAATCTAAGGTAAAGCAGTTGAACATGTATTGAACACAGCTGTGGTTACTTATAGATCTAGCAAATTACCACTAGTTGTGTATCTGATAATATTCACACTTTCAGCTCTGTTTGGTTTTTACCAATCCCCTTGTAACACCTTTCAGATTACAAATCATTTGATTGACTGTTAATGTAAAATATTGGTTAGCTTTAATCATTTGTTATGCTGTTCATGCTATGCCTATGCATCTTATCTCATGACCTAATTTTGTATTTCATATAAAACATGTGCTAATTAAAATTAAATTATGTGGAAGTGTTCAAATGGAAAACATTCAAGTGTGGTACCTCAAACTGTATGTAGAATATCTAGTTATTTTCCACCACTGATGAGCTTATTATTGTCAGATTGCCTACTGGACCTTTACCTGGTTGAAGTTGTCTAGAGCCTTGTGCAGGTTGGCATGCATGCCTGTAGGTGGTTCATTGGTGATCTTGATGGAGTTCTCCAGGATGCCCTGTGGGATGACGTGGCCCTCGGGGGTGGAGGAGGGTTCAGCACTAACAAACACCCTGAAGTTCTCGTGGCTTCCCTCTGCGAGCTTCTCCAGAAGTTTCTCTAGAGAACCCAGCCAGCCAGCCACCAAGTGGATGTTCTACAGGGGGAGGAGCAGGAAACCGGGCCAGCAGGGAGAAAGATGAGGAAGAGGATGACATGTTATTGGTTGGGGACAAGCTAATTTCCCCTTTGAGGGTTGAAAACCTAATCTTCACTTAGATAATGTTTTCTGTTATACATTAGGTATTTTGTTCAAATATCTTAAACTATAATTACATCTACGCTACATGATTGTTGGAACTTTCTGTGAAAACAAAATAAGGTTGTGTATGTTCTGTCCTTGTGAATAGGTTGTGTTTAGTATTTTTTTGTGCTTTTGATTAAATACCACAGTAAAATATTTTTTTCTTTGTGTACAGTGTGCACAGCATGAGTATGAGAGTACTGTACCTGTAATATGACCCAATGGCCCTTCTCAGCTGCCAAATTGAGGGCTTGTTCAGCAACGACCTCCTGGCCTTGACCCAGAGAAACATTATGGAAATTCTTTTTGTCAAATGTGAAGCCAATCTTCTTCCCTGAAACAAAGAAGACAAGTGTCATTTCATAGAAAAATATCGTCCTGACATGCTGGTTAACTATAGGCCTCAAACTGTTGTTAAATATTGTTATTAACACTTGCTCTTTTTATCCTACTGAGCATTTAGCTTAGTAGTCGCATTGGTTAAGAGCTAGCCTTGATGAAAGGTAAATAAAAAAGATGTGTGATATGATGATATATAAAGTGTGATGACAGAAACTTGTTGTATTGTTTCCTAATATTCTCTATATCCTTCATTTTGTCTATTTTGATGAAAGGTGACAAACATGTGGAAGACACTTTGTGTTCTTCCACACGGCATTCATTTCAGCAGGATATTGAAATGAAGGCAACACAAACAAACATAGAGGACAGCGAATGTGAAAGAGAACTGGGAAATTCCCAACAGGAGAAAGATTCTAAGGAGCCAAGACAAAATGGGAACCTGATACCTAAAGCTACTTCTGTTAGAGGAAAAGTCTGAAATGGACCATAAAACCGAGCTTTGCAAATTATGTTTCAAACCAGTCCCCACAACATATTGAAAAAAACATCACTACCCTCTTGTACCTACGCAAGACTCACGTCAAACAGTAAGGAGAGAGTTATGGATGAGAGACATAAAAGTAGTCGAGTGTTCAAAACAAACTCCAGACTCTGACGCTGCGAGAGGCTCCCACCACGTAAAGAAATGACTGCTAGACCGGCAATATGTCGGCTCTGATAAATTCCAACATTCTGAGGCTGAATTTTACAGCTTATTAAAGATAAAACAAGCGAGAGTATTACCATGTTTTTCCACATCCTTCAAAGGGTCAACTCCAGGAGAGAGGATGAAGAACATGGGCGTAGCTGGACCAGATTCTTCAAAGGAGATGGCGAAGTCCAGGGATCGGCTATTTGCGTACTTGTTTCCCAGTTTCTCCTCTACAAAATCTCTGTGGGGGGGAACAGGAGGGTTAGGGTTTCAGTTGTTAACAGTTTTTATTATCTTTGACGAATAAGCTGAAGAGTCTGCTGCCTCTGTCGTACGGTGCATTGGATAGCAGGTGCTCTGTCAACTCAGATTCTAAAGTCAAAGCTTAAACAGTTTAAACCTGTAACCTTTCACAAGGAGCACAGGTCAGTAAAATCCTTCACAGATCACAGAGCGAACGTCAAGCTACGATTCCACCTCTCACCTTACGGCGTACGTCATGCGGTCAGGCCTCAGAGCCCTCATCATGCATAGCTTCTGAAGAGAATTTTTGTTCTTCCACTCCTGGGGGAATTTCTCTCTTTCAGGACACTTGCACTCCACGAACGTCTTCCAGCGTTTGGATGAACCTTCGATGTCTTGATCCAGGTTTCTGAACTCTTCCAAGGTACTCAGGGCCTGTTGGTGGAGGAAAAGAAAAATGATTCATACAGGAAAAAGTGCTGCGACACTGATCAAGTTTTGGACCACTTCAGAGCCATTTTGCAAAATACAGACACATGGCATACAAGCATACAACAACACAGCCGCCTCTGCCTCTTTCCGTACCTTGATCCCGCCCCAGGAGTGGTTGGAAAAGAAATCCACTGGTGWTGTTAAACCTGGTTGGACGGGGTATCTCAGAAGGAAGTCCAGCTCTACAGGGTTTATTTCTTTTTTCATCGCAAGGATCTGGGGACACAACAAACATAGATGACTTTGAGATGCTGTATTTCGAGCACACAGAAAAGACCTCTGGTCTCAGGAACAGGTGATTCAATGGCCAGCTTGTTCTCAAAAACAAACCAAGATGAAACTGGCCTCCCTTCCTACCTGGAAAGCGAGCTGAGCAATGTACGTGAGCTTGTCACACTCAAACAGGCCTCTGGTGGTGTACTGGAAGACTGAGGAGGTGATGCTGTCAATTAGGTTGGACACCCGCTGGTTCAGAGTATCGTCCTGCTCGGCCTTCAGAACCGCTTTCTGGAAGACCACGCTGAATGCCTGTGGATTGACACACAACACAAAGTAACAATACTGTCAAAAAGAGGGACACTTTCTACAASATAGAGGCAAATACATCAAATGACATGAATGAATAACTAACTGTTGTGTTGTATGTGGCTCAGTTATAAGTTGGACATCCGTTTCATTTGACATGATAGATATGATGCCGTTAGTCCTAAACGTGGACTATTCAATATGACTCTGGCTTTTATGAAAAGCATTTAATTGTAGTAGATTGAAATGCTCTTGCAGGTCATACAAGTATGCATGACTGTAATTATTGTCGTAAATGTAAGTTAGTGGACTTGATACTAATTTTTAAACATTAAATCTCAAAAATGGCCAAAACCATGGTGTGTGTTAAATTCAAGTGAATAGCTTCTGTCTCTTCTGTGTGTGGGCTGAAAATATGCCTGTGGTGGAGGAGTGAGTGTAAAGAGGGGTCTCACAGGGGGCCCGTGAGGCAGGGAGGAAACATGGCAGGTCAATAGACAGTATACTGTACCTTGAGAGAGAACTGGTACATGGGGTGGATTTTATTGAGGTCGTTCATTATGAAGTACAATAAGGAAGCCCGCGATGCTGCTGGTCGGTAGTGCTCCCGAGTCTCATTGATTTCGGCCTCTGTCACCTTGGCTTCTTTAACCTACAGTAAAGACAGTGCAATCAAAGAGGGAATCACACACAGACACAAGCACACATCTGAACACATATTCATACACAAAAGGTTCATCAGTCAGCTAATGACTCGGTTCCAGACAATATGTTCCCACACTGCGTGGAACATGATAATTATGAGACTTTTCTGTTTTTGCCAGCAATTGCCCGAACAATTATTCTTAAGAACGAACATCTGCAAAGGCAGCCCTCATCCTGAAACTTGTGATCTGTAATCTTAAGCGGTGATGGGATGTAAGAATAAAATTTAAAAAAAGATAAGGACCTTCTGTTCAATCTCCGCAGCGGTGCATTTCGTTGTCTCCAGGTTTTCCACCAGTTCTGTGTCACCGAGGAAATCTCCTGAAGCGGAGGACAAACGCGACAGCAGGTTGTCCTCTAGGGTCTTCAGGGTGATCTTGAAGCTGTTCTGCTGCTTCGTCAGGTCGGACTAAGAAAAACGGAAACACACAAAAACTTTCTCTTTGAACATTTTCCTTGTCAGGGAATAATTCATGGATCTTGATTTAAAAAATCTGTCATGTCTAGGGAACTGATATATAAGAGTGTGTGCAATTTGGTACAGATCCAAATGAAAATCCAGATCCAGTGAATTTAAATGTGGTTTCATAAGAGGACTGTTGGGCCTGAGTGTTGTTATTAAATATGTCTGACATTCTGACTTTCTTACCTTCAGCTCTTCCTGGTCAGGTCTCTCCATGCTGACCACCGCGGCGAGCAGCTGGTCCTCCAGACCGTCTCTGGTCACTGTGAAATTTATCAGTGTGCACTGGGCCTGCAGCTCCGGCTGGTAATGAGGGTTGGCAAGCTTGGTGTGCAGGATCAGGCGGAAACTAGGGTTGTACTCGCACTCCTTGTCTCCGATCTTTATGTACCTGTGTGGGAAAGAGAGAGCGGCTGAATGGAAGTAAAGATTCACTGGCAAAGCAGACACCATGTCTAACTGTCATCTAAAGTACTAGACTGAGGTAATTCTATATTTTTCTTACTGTTAACAAATTAACTATTAACTAAAAACAGTTTGAGTTTTTATGACAACTGAAGGCTTCCACAGGTTCTCTGTAAAGTATGGAAGCGGAGGGTTAGTTGAGGGGTATTCAACTGATATTTCACCACTAGATGTCACTAAATTCTACACACTGTACCTTTAAGGTCACATTGAGTAAGCTCACAAAATTGACTTGAATAAATAATGTGCCTCAAACTATCATTAAAATGAATGTCAATGCTCTGTTGAGTAAATAACTTTTGTAAAACTGCTTACCTGCCCTTCTTGATGGTTTCCCTGCCCAGCAAAGGTCCAAGAACAGGATCCAGTGTTTCCTCCAAGTTCTCTATCAGAACCACGTCCCCTGCTGCCAGTGCACTTTCTATGGCATCCAGGTATCTGTCAGGGCAGAACAGCAGGAATTCATGTTTGCAAAAATCTTTTTTTTTTAAAGTGACAGGTGTACATTTAACCGTAAAGCCTCTTACCCTTTCTGTCCGATGCGGATGACTCGCAGGTCCTCCCCATATTTGTTTTTGATCCATTTGATGCCCTGCAGCTGGGGGTCCACCATGAGGGGCCAGCGCTGGCAGGAGGTGAGAATGGTTGCGTTCTCTGTGGACATTCTGTCAGCAGGCAGGCCCTCGTTTTGCCATGTGGCGATGTCAGCGTCATCAGACAGCATGGTCAGAGGGTCCAGGTCAGCGGTCACCGGGATGGGAACCTTACAGAGGATATTAGTCAGTCATATATGACCACATACGTGTTTTCTTTTTAACTGCTATCCACTACATCCACAGAGAGACATGCCTTTTTTGACAGCATTTGGTAACTTATTCCATCATTGAGGAACAATTTGTGTGTGGACAAGAGTCCCAAACGTTTTGCAAAATAACTGAATAAGTGTATACAGGGCGTAAAATACGAGACCTCTCACCTTCAGCTGACTGAAATAAGACCTCCAYGTGTTCTCCATAAGGTGCAGTCTGTAATGCTTGGTGAAGTATCCCAGGTAAGAGATGAAGGCAGTGATGAGGAGGACATCCCCGCACAAACTCGTCTCCTGTTTCTTGAAGTTTYCGACGGCCTCTGCCCAGCGGACATTCTCAGAGACCAGACCTCCCACCTGAAACACAGACCAAGAGGTTTATTTTTTAACATCACTACAAACACTAAAATCAAATCTAAATTATTATTATTATTATTTTATGTCTGCCGTCATCTGCCGTCTCAACTATGCACCTACATTAACCMAATTGAGGCCTATAAAAGTAGGAAAATTGCATTGTGCCATATTGATTTTTTGAGAAATCTCAGATCACGATGTGCAACATCAGTAAAAAATTCTTCCTCACTGCAAAAATAACACTGGTGAAAACTGGTTTATCTAACCGAAGATTATAGCCAAAGTGAAGACATTTCTTTTGTAACTTCATCATGGAAATTCATGTTGCTTTGGATAGCAGCAGTTAATTTTTGCACTTTACAGACAACCACATGGATGAATCTGCTAAAATTATATTGAGCTTTTTTATCTATAATTTTTGGGATWATTTGTGAGACCACTGKTTCCCCTACTCACCAGACGGTTGGCCAAAGAAATGGTCCGAGCGRTTGATTCTGCTTCCTGTTGGCACTTGAGCTTGTCTGAAGTGGCTTTCTCAAACTTGGCTGTCAGCTTTGCCAGGTTCTCATTAAGGAGCTGTTAGGCGACAAACCCACGCGCACAGATKCACACACATCCAGAAATAGAGACAAATTGGCAGTCGTTAAAACACAACATGGTCATAAATAATCCTCAAAGACAGAAAACAAAAACAATTAAAGTCTATCTATGAAAGAAACTTGGAAGTGTGAGAAACGTTGGGTAAAATATGAATATATCTAAATTGTATGACTTTGAAATAGAAAGTTAGTATATATATATATCTCAATAACTCAGTACAACAGAGTGGCTCACATTGATCTTCTTCTTGATGGCAGTGAGCTTCTTCTGTGCAGCAGCCAGCTCTGCATTGGCCTCGCTCAGCGCCTGACGCTTGGGCTCCACCTCGCAGAAAACCTCATARAACCTGACGATGTTTAAAACCCAAGAGCACAGACCGGCTGCTGCATTCGACTTGGCTGCCACCAGATCTGGTTGGAACTCTGGGTCCTGGAGACRAACAGATGAATGCAAACATGAACAAATGCAAAATATAACAGCAGCCGTAATGTGGTGCCGTCATTGTTATCATGCTCATGCCTTATAAGTTGAACTTGCCCAGCAGCAGACATWGCACACTGTGCACTGTTAGCGTTGACTTAATGAATAAGGGCTAATTGAAACACTCACCTTGAGGTAGGGCTGAATAGCTTTAAGGCAAGTCGCTGGGATGTTCTCTTT